TACAACCATCTATAATTTTAATATACGAAGATGAAAACAGTTGGGCTACACCATTCATCTCTCCTGTTGTTTAAGCAAAATGGATAATGTTGCTTGTATAAAACTATTTACATATACTACTTATGCGTGAGATATTTTATTTTTAGTTTGTTTCTTTTGATTCTATACCTATAATCATACGTTGTATGTATTACAGTTTTTTTGCTTTACATATGTTATCTTATATTGCGCAACATCGAATGTTGGCTGTACTATAACGTTTCATGGAAAAGAAGAGAAAAGCAAAATGCATGATAAGATTGATGATGTGATGAACAAAGTTTCTCATATAAATATTATACAAATAATATAACTCTAATTAATTTTACTATTATATGTGAGTGAAATGTCTACTGGTTCCATACAGTACAAAATTCATATTCAATTCTCAAAATATATATATATACAAAAACAATAAGGATAATCACAAGCCCCCCAAGTGAAATTATTCTTTAACTATCTTCAACTCAATACGTGTGTGAGAAAACTGACATTATAACAAAAAAAATGTTTAATTGCAATAATGTATCGTGGGAATACGATTATTAAATTTATATATATAATGAGAAGTATATATTAAACTTTGAGGGATACTAATTAGTAATTATAATTTTTTTTACATCCAATAAAACCTCTTATCTGAGATCATATATAGGATGTTTTTATAGATTCTTAATTTTCATCTCAGTGTATATATAAAGATATTCTGACATCTAACTAAATGTTCAATAAGTGAAACACAATAATCAAATGGTTAATTTTATATCCGAATAATTAACATTTTCATCTTACATGTTCACCTATTTATACTATTTTTATTATACTTTGATCTGTATGGACGATTAAGGGATACCTAAGTATAGTTAAATCTTGGTTTTGTCTCTATTTAATGACTTTTACTAATTAATCATGCACTTAATTTGTTAATTGTACGTCAATAAGCTTGCTAGTATAATGTGTTAAAAATGTGACAATTTCATGTGCAAAGAATCACGAAGAGTAACAATATATTGAAATGTAAGTGGACTTAATGATAAAATTAAAAAAAAAAAAAGATAAAAAGGTTGTGAATTTAACTTCTTCCACGTACAAATACTAACAATTAAAATTATTATTAAAAAAAATCGAAACATAAATTATATGTGGAGTTCGGTATTTATGATAATAATCAATACTTAAAATAAATGAATCACTAATTATTACAACAGATATGAACCAAGCGAGAAAAAAAGAAAGATAAAAAAGAGAATATTGATGTATTGAGGAGTAAACTTGTTCCCTAAGTTTGTTATATAATCTCCCGAGAGGGAGTAGGATGGAGAAGGATACCAGTGTGTGTGATGATTGACGATTCGTGGTTACAAACTTATAATTGAAGTGCATTTAGCACGATATCGTGAAATCATTTTCTACTTTTATGACGTTGTGGTCTAACATCAACCTTTGGTTGCACTCAAAGATTATCTTGAGACGTCAGAAGGGAAAAAAGATTACCCTGGATACTATTTTAAGGGTAAATATAAAATTATTTGGTTTCCTTTTCTACTAAAAAGTGATCGTATGAAAAGCACAACCCAAATTTGTAACCTTGGCAACCTTTTTCTCCCTAACCATGGTTTCTGGTGTTCGTTGGTCTAGGTTTCGAAACAAATAATGCTAGTTGGATGAGGTCATATAATGCAAAAGGCTCGAATCATCAACAAAAATAGGAGAGCTTCAACTTTTTCTTTTCATTTTTAAGTAAAGTTCTTTCAAAAAATGCATGCATGAATACCTATAAAGTTAAACTACGCAAGAAATATCCACACCATTACCAAATTTATAATTATAATGCCGTAAGTGGGTTCGGTTTAGAACTATTCACTTGGTTACCAAACATGCTGTCATGTGATGGATATATAGATATTACTGACAGGTTAATTTACAACTCCATAATAAAAGGGGACATCTTGATGCAAAGATCATGTCATGTCATTAATCATTGTATAATATAAGAACTGAAAGTAACTCTTCTGTATGCTCATTAATTAACATTTTTCTGTTTTCAATAAATAAATAAAATCTAAAGAGGCAGTGGAGTTTGGAATAAAAACCCTAGCAAGGCTGGAACAGCTACAAAGGAACACGAACTAAAGTCAATTTTTTACACTCATTTTAAGTGAAAGTTTTAAATCATCTTTGCTGACTGCCCAACTAAATTCCACACACCAGCGTGCGAAATTTAGGATGGAAAATCATTTAAAAAATAATTCATACATTATAATTTATTTAAACTTATACAAATAATTCTCCTATAGGACAGGAGCTCATCTCGAGCATGTGAAAAAGGGTAAATGATATTTTAACGTCTTAAAAAATATTCATTTGACAACCCATTTCAATAATACAATAATATGTAGCTGTATTTGAGTTTAAAAAAAAATAATTATAAAATATTAAAACTAATTGTTAAGAAAGAATCACAAAATGGAGCGTCGAGTAGGAAAGAATCAAATTAAACCATTAGCAATAAGCAAATTAATGAGAAGAATCTATCCCAACAAATAATTTTACTATTTCAAATATATATTACTTTTTCTTTTAGAAAAATATCATATACTCGTTATCAATCTTATAATCATTTGGTCACGGTTGTACTAAACTCTTACTATCAATTTTTTCTTACTTCTTTCATGATTATTTCTTTTTTTTTTTAAATTCTTAAGATTTACCAACAGAGATACATGTTTCTACCAAGAATCGCTTAGTATATTTCGATTAAATTGCATGCCCACGAATCACATGCTGAATGCATTTATTTTTTTATTATCGGCACTTCATATTTTCATATATTACTATTGGAAAAAATAAACAATTATGTGGATCTAATAGTCCAATTAGCTGGTATCTTGTCAACACAAGAAAGAATCTTTCCAGAAGAATGGCCAAAATAGCAAACTACGAATGGATACAAAAGGATATATAAATGCAGGATAAAATAATAAAGGAAAACAAATCAGTTCTTACAATCATAAGAACCAAACTTCAATTATCGTTTACCAATGATGAAAAGAAAATGAGTTGTTCCCCATAAGAGCACAAGAAGAAGCACAATTCAAAACATCAGGCCCATTATTTTACTTATGAAGGTACTTCGTCTGGGCTCGTTATGAAAAAAAAAACATTGATTAAGTACTAAATTATACACTGGGCTTCATATAATCCAAAAATCCGTTATGTTGTGATTATGAATTAGTGACAGAATCCTAACTATCTAGGAATAATGTTTGGAAAAGAGTTTTACTAATTAAGAAATCAAACAATGCAAATGGAAAGCAATAAATGGAAGGAACTTCTGAGATTAACATTACATGGGTGTGGTTTCGAGAAATAATCTCTTTACATCGGTTAATTTCAGATATACTTTAATGATTTGATTTATAACTATAGATGATGACGAACTACCAGTAAAATTGATTAGCATTAGTATTTTTAATAAACGACAAAATCCGATATTTCATGCATCTTGATCAAAATTCGGTGCATCTTGCATTTAAAGAAGTTTTTATAACTTACCAAATAATTAAAATTTGATTATTAATATTTATTTACTAGTTTTAGTATATTATTAATTAAAATTTCACATTTCCTTTTCTGCTTTCCACTTTAATTTTTCCACGTCGGCCCTTGCTATATCTCCATTTAAGACCTACACTACCTCTTAATTGTTTTTCTTTAAACATTCTTCCACTTACATTTTATATATTACACAAAACCCCTTGGTTGTACGAGATCGTTATATAAACGTTAAAAAATGGAGGGTTACGTGCAATTTCCAGAAACATATATTCTTTCATCTTTATCTCTCTTTTTCCTATTTAGTATAGATTTGTTATGATCTATATATAAAGTTTAGAGCCAAAAAAGTGCATTTGATAAAAGAAGCATCATCACCCCATCCAAGACATAACCATGGCTAGGAGAAAGAAAGTGACACTAAAACTGATTGAGAATTTTGTGGCAAGAAAAGCTCGTTACAGAAAAATTCGAGAAAATTTATTGAAGAAGGTGGAAGATGTTACGACCCTTTGTGATGTGAATGCATGTGCAATCATCTATGGTCCAGGGGACGACGTGCCAACCGTGTGGCCATCCCATGATATTGCTAAAGAGTTGCTCGACAAGTTTGAGAATGCTCCATTGCCAGAACGATTGAAAAAAAATGTTACTCCACAACTTTATATCGACCAGATGAACAGAAAGATTGAAAAACAAGTCATGAAACTGAAGAAGAAGAACGATGAGAAAGACATGTCAAATTTCTTGCACAATATACATGATGGTAAGTCTTTATCAGATCTTGATGCTAGCGATATATGTCGTTTACTTTGTTACGTGGAGGGAAAATTGAAGTGTGCTGGAGTAAAAGTTCACATTTCTGAACAACAGTTATCAACTAAAACTCCGACACCACTAGTTTCTTTTCCTCTGCAGAATGACATCGATTCTTGTGCTAACATAGATGAACAGGTTTTTCAACAACAATCATCCTTAGATTCAACGAAAGAAACTGGTCCAATGAATAGTGATTCCGATAATAATAAGAATACGGGACTACCACCACTACAGCAACACGCACATGATAATACGGGGTTGTCTCAAGTTAATTTTGAAAGTTTGAATTTGGATGATATTGGTATGGTGTTACATTCAGCAAATTTTAATGATGTGATTGATGATAATGGCTTGGCATTTGGGATGTTGGCTCAAGATAATTATATAGGTATTTGTGATAATGGTGATTTAGGGCTTTTACATGGGAGTTCTTCAGGTGGAGAAATTACAGGCAATGACATATGGTCATCTTATGAAAGTTTTGGAGACATAAGTGAGAGTGATACCATGTTGCCCTTCAACAATAATGTTCAAGACAACATTGATGGAACTTTCATGGGAGCAAACGTTGAAAATGAAGGTGTCTCCATTAATAATATAGAGTTAAGCGGTGATCAAAGAACTACCAGTGGAGACACTTGAACTCCTGATTTTCTTCTCTTGCAAAGGAAGTGATATTAATTAAAGTATTTTCTTCTTATCAATTATCTTCATGGATATGTATTTTGTTTGAAGTGTTTCTTTTTTATGTATTTGAGACAAACGTATAATATAATATGTTTCATCTTTCTTTCATAGTACTTTCCTTGATTATGTAGTTTGTTTCTTCAAGAGCGTTTAATTTTCTTAAAAACATGTTTTGTGACATATTACGTTTTTTTATATATGAGATGGAGATCATAATTATAACTCTCCTTTTGTTCATTCCATGGTCATTCAGTTTACATTTCTATACAATTATTCATCATTACACCTTCAATGTATGAATACTGATTATTCATTTTTATGGATTTTTATCTTCTAATAAGTGAAAGGTTTTATAGTGTGTAATTCACTTTAATATTTTTATAAATGTTACAATAATTTGACAATATTCTTAAAATGTTATGAAATGTAAGATTGATATTATTGTTAAAATTCTGACATTATAATATGTTAAAGTATTCTTTAATAAGGCTACTCAATCATAAATAAAATATATATATTAACAAGATCCATTCTCGTCACCACACTTTTTCAATATTATTAAAAAGCACATTTTATTCAAGTGGACATCTATATTTCCATCAAGATTGAGAAAAAAAACTCATATTTTACCTTTTATTTTACCAAAACATGCTTGTGCGTTGATGTATTGGCCACATGTTAAATTTATTATCAATTGTAAGATTTATACAAGTGCTTTTCATGATTCTTTTTGTTGTATTTCATAATATTATGGATGCATTACCATGAACCACTTAAGGTTTTACTTCCTCGTCCAAAACTAAGATTGTTGTTTTCGTCTTTCTCTCTTCTTTTAAGCAAACTAAATCAAATATCAGTGCAGATATACATAAATTAAAAAAATTAACCCTTTTATATTTCAATTTTTTTTTATAAAAAATGTATTTTTTTTTTAAATTTGAACAACTATGAATATTTGAAAAACTAATTCAAAAAATCTATTAAATGTTTTAGGGTTGGAATCATATGTTTAGTTATTCAAAAAAATTGATAGAAATTTAATTCTATTTATTGAGATATTTCACCCGCATAATAANTCGTCACCACACTTTTTCAATATTATTAAAAAGCACATTTTATTCAAGTGGACATCTATATTTCCATCAAGATTGAGAAAAAAAACTCATATTTTACCTTTTATTTTACCAAAACATGCTTGTGCGTTGATGTATTGGCCACATGTTAAATTTATTATCAATTGTAAGATTTATACAAGTGCTTTTCATGATTCTTTTTGTTGTATTTCATAATATTATGGATGCATTACCATGAACCACTTAAGGTTTTACTTCCTCGTCCAAAACTAAGATTGTTGTTTTCGTCTTTCTCTCTTCTTTTAAGCAAACTAAATCAAATATCAGTGCAGATATACATAAATTAAAAAAATTAACCCTTTTATATTTCAATTTTTTTTTATAAAAAATGTATTTTTTTTTTAAATTTGAACAACTATGAATATTTGAAAAACTAATTCAAAAAATCTATTAAATGTTTTAGGGTTGGAATCATATGTTTAGTTATTCAAAAAAATTGATAGAAATTTAATTCTATTTATTGAGATATTTCACCCGCATAATAATAATAAAATTATTATTATAATTATACATACAAGATCGATTTATTAACTTTATATAATTACTTCACAATCCTAACACAATCTTTAATCATTTTACTATATAAAAAAAACTTTATTTACTGAAAAATAAAAGTTATTTCATGGTTGAAGTTAAAAGTTATTTATTATTCTCATACTCCAAACATGTTTATTTTAATCTTAACCATCGAAACAAAATTTAATAATTGATATATATTATTTTTGTTTTCACAATATAAAAAGAACTTCTTATTTGACAATATATATATATATATATATATATATATATATATATAGGATATAGATATGTATATGCATGTGTTTAGTTACTAATATAATATTTTTATAAATGTATTATATTTATTGAATGTATTAAATATAACATATATAAGCAAGTTGTATGCGTGAGCATTCCAAGCTATTACTATAATATTTATTTGACTATATTATATTTATAGAAATTATTAAATATAACATATAAATAATATTTTTAATATGAATTATTATAGTTATTATGCAATGTATTTAAATAATTCATAAATGTAACTATGATTACTAAATACATAATTTTCCATGTAAAATTAATACATATTCAAGTATTGTATTAAATAAATTTTAATTAATTACTAATAATTGAAATACATAAATACAATGACTTATTTATTATTTTCCATCCTACAATATTAATTAAATACATTATTACTCAAAATATATTTAATTTTTTAATTTTATCATCCAAATAGATTGAGTAAATTACATTAGCATTCGAGGAGACATTCCGTTGGATTTTTCTACAAATCTTTCATTTGTTTTAAATTACATTATTACATTAACATATAATTCTTTTACGTTTTAAAAACATTATACTGTTCGTCTAGTAAAGCAGACCATAGTGATGGTGAAAAAAATACTATTGAAAAAATAGCAGAAAATGTCATTATAATTTGCTTACTAAAATTTAATAATTTATATTTTATTATTCTCTTTTTCACAATATTTTTAGTTTATACATGTTTATATTAAAATGTTTCATATATATATATTAATTATATTAAAACACTAATAATAGTTATATTTATTAATTATAATATATTTAAGATATTTAATAATTGTAATTTATGTTTATTCAATATAAAAATTTCCTTGTGATGAGTAAATACATATTCAAATATGTTATTAAATAAAAATTAATTAATTACTAATAATTTAATATATAAATTTGGAATATATATAAATGCAATCACTTATTTATTGTTTTCTATCCTAAGTTATTAATTAAATAAACTATCATTGCTCCAATGATGTATAATTTTTTAGTCTTTACTTTTCAAATAAAAATTATTCTTTTATATTTTTTTGCACTAAAAAAAGCTCTTATTTCATCCATTTATTCATTATATTTGTGTGCAAATGTATTTTCTTAATTAATGTCATTATTGTAAGATTCATATAACATATTATACTTATTGATTTTGTTAAATAAAATATACTAATAATGTTAATGAGTTCATTGATATGAATATATATTATTTTTATAAAATTATCCTAATAGTTTTTTGTCTTTGTAGATTAGAGGTTAATTTTGGTTCTTATTTTTCGCCTCTCTTTAATTCTGTTTACTTTTAGTATCTACTGTTAAATTATTTTCTTTAATTAACATAATTTTGATAATGTTACAATCATATATCATGTTATTAGTGTTAGTTGGTGTTTCGGTTATTGGGATTGAGTCACCAAACTCCTCCACAACATGTCTACCACTTACCTCTAACCTGTATTTATAGCTTTCGCCATGGGCTTGAGATTAGTGAAAAGTTAATCACGGCCCAATTGCAACCCAATGGCTCTAATCACTATTTACCTTAATCCTAGTCTTAATGACCCAGTTTACCGATCGGCCGGCCTTGCGCAGCCGCCCGTACGGTATACCGTCATTACTCATCCGAGTTGAAGATGAATGGTCGGGTCGCAAGCGTGTAGATTGTTTATGCTAGCCGTCCGACAATGCTATCAGAGGAGTAAAAAAGACTGAAGAAATGTCGACGGTTAGATTGGTGTCGACGTTGCTCTCAGACCGTCCGGTCCGTATGGTACAGTTAGTATTGAACAATGTTTAAGTTTTTCTTAGACAATGTTTAAAAATTCATAGAAAAAAATATAGCTAACCGATTTTGTTGATAATAATGCACGAGCAAGGATTACACGAAAAATGTATTCAACTATATAAAAAAAATATTTGTAATTAGTATTTGAGTGTATATGTTAACTTTGAGAATTGAATTATTATTATTTGTTTGTTGAAAGTTAAACATAACTTAACGTCAAATAATGATTGAATTTTTTTCTTGAGTTGAAGATTAAAAGCATTGTTAAAAAAAGTATAAAGAGTAACTTTACTTTTAACTTTTTTTTTTCTTTGATTTTTTTTTACCATCTTAATTCAAACAGAGCCCAAATACTTGTTTGTAATATTTTTTAATATTCTAATTTCTTCGAAGATTAAAATATATGTGAATATAACATTTTACAAAACCTTAGAGGATAGTCCATTGAGTTTGTGAGTTGATATTTCTTTTCGAAGAAATGTCAAAATTGATTTAAGATTTTCATATTTACAATATCACACTAATAAACTCTTCTACTGTGTTCCTTGTATTTTAGTTGGTACTAGAGTTTGAATTTTAGGATTAGACTCCTAACATCATAGTAAAGATATATCTTGAAAAAGATAGCTGGGAAGCTGGATATAACAGATGCAAAGTTCGGATCCCTCGTCTGGCCGAGCCATAACTGGAGGACTGGTTAAGATGTGTTTGACGGTGTTGAATGCAGTTTCACAATCATCGTCCCAGTGTTGCGGGGAACCCTTTTTCAAATTTCCAAGGATGGGTTTGATGTGTTCAGCCAGCTTTGGAATAAACCTAGATAGGGCGGTGAGGCGGCCACTAGACGTTGTACCTCCCTCAGAGTCTTTGGAGAAGACATGTCTAGTACCGCCCTGCACTTGTCGGGGTTGGCTTCGATGCCTCGACGCGTGAGCATGAATCCTAAGAACTTTCCTGCGGGGACGCCGAAAGTACATTTGGAAGGATTGAGGCGCATGCTGTACCGTCGGAGTTGGCCGAAACCTCCTTCAAATCATGCGGTGTGCTGTTCCACAGAATTGTGCTATGACAATTGTCGTCAACACATACACGTCCATACAACGTCCTATCTGATGATGGAAGACTTGATCTATGAGTGGGTGGGGTGGGTGGTGGATGCGGAGGGGGGGGCGGTGGAGTAGGGGCGGGGGATAAGTGGCCCGGCATTTTTCAATCCA